ATATACCATCATTTAATTGAACAAAAGGGACACAGGCAAGCGCCAGGAATAGGTGACTCTAACAGGACATGCTTTAAAGAAGCCTGATGCAGGCTTTAGGTTGCTGTGTTTTAACTGAACCTATTTACACTGTATCCTACACACTGGAGAAGAAAGCTGCTGAGTAAATCTTATGAATTGACACGATCACACTTTTATCTTTTAGCCGCGTCCTTTCTTCCAGGGTGACATAGCTCCATGAGGTGGAGATTCTATATCTCTCCTCACTTCAGTGAACAAGGAAAGAAATCAGCTATAGAAAGAGAGTAATTGGTGAGTACATCAAATTAACATCATCCATTTTGAACTGAAGAAATTTTGCTATCATGTCAGCTCTGTCTTATTAAACTTAATTTTTCAAACTATTCTTGTTATCTTTTTTAAAAAAATATATTTTATTGATTTTTTACAGAGAGGAAGAGAGAGGGATAGAGAGCCAGAAACATTGATGAAAGAGAAACATCGATCAGCTGCCTCCCGCACACTCCCCTACTGGGGATGTGCCCGCAACCAAGGCACATGCCCCTGGCTGGAATCGAACCTGGGACCCTTTAGTCCGCAGGCCGACGCTCTATCCACTGAGCCAAACCGGTCAGGGCATATTCTTGTTATCTTGATTTCACTTCCACAGAGATCTCTGGGAGTGGGGTGGGCTTCCTTTAAAAATCCCTGGAATATAATTTGTAGTAAAAGAACAAAGCATTTCTCAGGGCTCATGACTAAAGAGGAATATCAAGTAGGAGTAGGTGGGAGAGTGAACTTGATTTTCAGGTTGTGGGTTCTGAATCTATTCTAAAGACGGAATATATTTTGGAAATCTGAATCATCTGTTGTCTTACCACAATGAGACAGAAAATTACAATAAAAATTATTGCTACTGTAGTCACAATTATTGCCACGATGAGATTCTTGTTATAGCCATATCCTGGCACTTCTTTTGTGAGCTAAAAACAAAAACAAAGAACGTATTAAAAAAAAAAAAAGCTGAAAAGGGAAAAAAAACCTATTCTCTAGCCTATTCTAACTATTCCTTTGTTGTTCTCAATCCTCACGTGAGGATATTTTTTTCATTGATTTTTAGAGAGAGTGGAAGGGAGAGAATGACCCTTCCATGCATGGGCCGATGCTATAACCATAGAACCACACTGGCCAGGGCTAAATATTCTTATCTACTACTCTAAAACCCCATTCTTTCAGGTGAATAGCTTGTAGGTTCTTAAAGAACATACCACATCTAATGTGCTGTGTAATCTGAGCATTAGCATTTCCGTGTACAATTTATTTATCTTTTCTCATCTACCCTAGGAACAGTGGCACCAAGACAAGATTCAGACCAGGTGCCCTGGCCTTCCTGCCTGGGTGCTTTCAAGGCGTCTCCTAAACTGACTAGAAGTCCAGGCCTTATGTTTGGGGAGCTGTCCTCACCGCACTGGGCTCCTCCTCTTCCTGTTCACCCTGAGCTTCCAGCCTCTGCTTTTTCCATGGATCCGCATCCCGCTCTGCCTTGGAGACAGTTCCTTCTTGCTGTTTACTGAGCAGCGTCTTCAGGGGGCCTGTTCCAGAAAATAGCTTCCTCAATTTATTTTTGTAACTTTAATGGTAAAATTCAGGTTCAAGAGAGAGATTCCCTCTGTTGTTTATCAAATGGCTCAGGGACATGTCTCCATCTTGCACATTTGAAAAAGGAGTTCAATGAATGGTAATAACATTGGTTCTATATTTTCTGGATTTTCCTCCAAGAAATAGGGCAATATGTAACTTGGTGCACGCATAACATCACTCTTATTAAAGTCTAGCTGCTCACGCATTAGGGATGATGAACTCTCTCCGTTTCTGTCTGAGGATGCCCACTCTGGCTCAATAGTCAGCTCAGTGCTGGTGTCCTTCCGGCCTGGCAGTACTTTCAGGAACGGTCCTTCTATAAGTAGTCCTTCATCTGCCAAAAAAGAAGAGACCACGTTTGATACTGAAAGACTCACGGGACAGCTCTTTGTCCGTCCACAGCCATCCATCCCAGTCAGATAAATTGGGAATCAGCAAATACCTGAGTGCCATTTAGAGAGGAGAAAAATAAACCCAACTGAAACCTATGATTGTCAACACAACAGAAGGAGAAAAGGTATCATTTTAAAAAGTGGTTATTTACTGAGAACATTCAATAGTATGGAATATAGTGACTATATTTAGGATTATTCCATTGGTCCCCAAGGGCCAATTGCCACTTACTGAAGAAATGCAAAGTCTGGAAGACCCACTCAATGAGAACCTGAAGACCTACTGTGAGTCCCCACATTCAGGTACCCCTCCTGTCTTGCCTGAGATGCAGAGGGGGCTGGAGGCTGGAGGCTTTTCACACCACACCACACCTCTCTCCACTCTTCAGGGAGCTCGTGTTCTTGCTACCATCACAGATGACCATGATTAATGCCCTCTGCTAACAGGTCCTCATCTGGACACACCCTTCTCCACTTACCCATCAATTCCTTAACTTGGTCCCTACTTCCATATATCCCAGCCCCCATAACAGAAGGCTCTATACAGAAAAAAACACTATGTCCACTCTTGCTCTTTGCTTAAATTTAGGCAGGCATCTGGGATATAGATTAAGAGATTTGCCAGGTTGTGTGCCACTGTGGAATGTTCAATAAATCTATGGAATAATACTTGGGGAAAAAGCAACTTTAAAAAAAATACATATTTTTATTGATTTCAGAGAGAAAGGGAGAGGGAGAGACAGAAACATCCATGATGAGAGAATCATGCGGCTGCCTCCTACATGCCCCCTACTGGGGATCAAGCCTGCAACCAGGGCATGTGCCCTTGACCATAATCAAACCCGGAACCCTTCAATTCCCAGGCCGATGCTCTATCCACTGAGCCAAACTGGCTAGGGCAGTGGTCAGAAAACTGCAGCTCACGAGCCACATGTGACTCTTTGGTCCCTTGAGTGTGGCTCTTCCACAAAATACCACGTGCGGGTGCTCACGTACAATGCGATTGAAACTTCGTGGCCCATGCGCAGAAGTCGGTATTTTGTGGAAGAGCCACACTCAAGGGGCCAAAAAACCTCATGTGGCTCGCGAGCTGCAGTTTGCCGACCACTGGACTAGGGTGAAAAGAGCAACTTTTGTCAGATGCCTACTTTGCTTTCATTTCATGTCATTTCTTATATTTTCAGCTTGACTTGGGGAACCATCCAAACTTTCTGACTGCATGAAGGTCAAATGTACCGTTGTGCAGCTGGGGTTTTTTCCAGAAAAATTACAAATATTGCTGGTGGTGGTGAGGCCCAGAGAAGGAGGTAAGGGTCCTGAGAAAGAGGGAACATGGGCTTGCAGAAAGCCCCAATTTGAAACCAAAGACCTGGCCCTAGGTGACAGCACTTAGCACTTTCTGACCTTGTTTTTGCTCACCTGTGAAAGGAGATTAAAATGCCTATTCTGCTCACCCTTGAGGCAAAAGGGAGTAATATAATTGGTCAAAACATTGTTTTGTAAAATAAGCAACAGCATTATTATTTATGATGTGCCCCAGATCACTGACAGAGACCTGTGCTATCTGGGCATGAAAGCACAGTTTGGAGGTTATCAAGTAGGTGCCAAGAGCCTAATATGTAGGAAGGTACTTAAAAGCACCTGTGTGTTTGGTGGATAGAAAATCTTGTGTTTCAGAGCAAGTTCTGAGTTGGATGGTGTAAGGCGACCGCTGTCTAAGGATACAAGAGCCCTCCCATCCATTAGAAGGGCTGGGCGGCAGCTTCTGGGGATGGATCCTGAAACTAACTCTCAAATTCCAAATAAAACAGCATCATTTGTACTCTTTTTTTATAAAATTGCAAAAATAAACAAAATAAAGATGTATTTAGCCCTAACCGGTTTGGCTCAGAGCGTCAGCCTGCAGACTGAAGGGTCCCAGGTTCGATTCCGATCAAGGGCTTGTACCTTGGTTGCAGGCACATCCCCAGTGGGGGGTGTGCAGGAGGCAGCTCATCGATTTTCTCTCTCATCGATGTTTCTAACTGTCTATCCTTCTCCCTTCCTCTCTGTAAAAAATACATAAAATATATATTTTTAAAAAGATGTATCTATACCTGTCCTACAAGGCAAAGGGCAATTGAAACCTCATGCATACAAAACCAGTTTACAAACTGACACACTAATGAACAAGTTCTCATTTGTAAGTAAAGCACCAAGCAGAGAGCACAACACACACTATGTGGCCGATGATGTTAACACCCTTCCCCTTCCATTCTCCTCCCTCTATTCCTCTCTTGTTCTTTATCTGACTTTGAGCAAGGTGTAGTTCTTAGAAATCTAGGCAGTTGAACTCTGAATGAATGAATAAAAACAATGCAGTTACATTATTTGTTTCAAAATTTATGATCATTGCTTAAAAATAAAAAATCAAAACAAAAAAATTTTTAAAAGTTTATCTTTGGGCAATTCAGACTCACCACAAGGTATGTTTTTCAGACATTCAGTGTCACAATGCAGTTTGACTGTCTTGGCAACAGTCTCAATATTATTTCTAAATTGGCAGAGGCAGCAGGTCAGATGGCTAGGTAAGATCCTACAAATGGGAACACAGAGAATTAAATTAGTGACAAAGGAGTTACTTGAGCTGGTCGACCAAGGCTACCACAGAGCTGTGAAGAAAAGAATTGTTGGGGCTGCCCTGGCCGGAGTTACTCCATGATTAGAGCGTCCGCCTACACAACGAAGGGTCTTGGATTGGATCCCAGCCCCAGTCAGGGCAAGTACTGGAGGCAACGATGGATGTGTCTCTCTCATATATATGTCTCTCTCTCTCTCTCTCTCTCTCTCTCTCTCTCTCTCTCTCTCTCTCTCTCTCTCTTTCTCTCCTTCTTCCATCCTCCCTTCCACTGTGTCTGAAAATCAATGGGAAAAATATCCTCAGTGAGGATTAAAAAATTTTTTTTGAAATCAATGGAAAAAATATCCTTGGTGAGGATTAACAACAACAAAAGAGTTGTTTGGGTATATCGCCTGAGCAGTTTGGTAGGGATCAGCTGGCCATTTGCTACTCTTGAATATAGTAAATAAATACAGTGGAGGACAGAAGTGCCCAACAGAAGGATAAGAACGGTAGTGGGTATGGAATGCCTAGAATAAAGGTGATAGGCATTAGAATTGGGCGACACTAACAAGTAGTTTAATTCAGAAATATCTCCTTTTCCCAACCCAAAGGTCTCACTTTGGGTTGAGAATACATGGGAAGAGGGAAGACTTCTAAGAAGATTGGATAAGTCCCCATCTTATGGAGTCCCTTTCTCAATTCCTAATTGTGAATGGTACATATATTGGAAATTACTCTGGGCATAAAACACTTTATGTGGTTACCTGGCCTCAAGAAGCCTGACTTAAGAAAATCATAAAAGAAGCTGAAAGAATGACTAAGTGAAAATAAATATAAGAAAAATCAACTTACAGTTTTTCCAATTGAGGGGTCATCATGAGGACGCTCACAACTGTTGTAAGTGACACTTGTGTCCTCCCCATGTCTCTGGAGGAGAAGGCCCAGACATGCATGATATAAACCCCGAGAGAAAAGCTGTACACTTACAAAGACACTTAGCGCCCTAACCGGTTTGGCTCAGTGGATAGAGCGTCGGCCTGTGGACTGAAGGGTCCCAGGTTCGATTCTGGTCAAGGGCATGTACCTTGGTTGCGGGCATATCCCCAGTAGGGGGTGTGCAGGAGGCAGCTGATCGATGTTTCTCTCTTATCAATGTTTCTAACTATCTCTCTCCCTCTCTGTAAAAATCAATCATATTCATACATATATATGACACTTAGCAACATGTGAGTACTTCAATTCTGGCTTCTATCAAAGCCAAAGATGATAATTTCAGAGAGCTCTTCTTGAAGAAATTTAAATTTATTTGTGTCATCAAATGAATGACCTTGGTGATACAATCTTTTTTCTTTTATTAAAACCGCTATCCTATTTCTCATTCTCTATCGTGCCCACCACTTGATTACTCTTTTAATATGTGACACACAACTTCTTTTTTCTTTCTGAGGTCAACAGTATTTCTACATGCATCTACATGTTCCAAGTCTGTATGTGTTCTTCAGTGCCGCTCCCTTCCTCTGTTGGCTGTCTTGTTCATCTGCATTCTCTCTTAATCATTTTTCTGTGCCAATAACTCTTATCCAATCACCCAGTTAAAATGTAAATTATGACCATTTAGTCAAAACACAAATTACTTAATCACTGATGAAAGTAGGAAAGCAGAAATCATCTCATGAGCAATACTTACAAATATTTTAATGCTGGCAATTTAAAAAGATATGGATCGTGGACAGCTGTCAGAGGATTACGATCGAGAATTCTGAAAAATGCAATGGAATGAAAATTATCTACATTTTCAAGAATTGCCATGAAAGTTTATATTCGTTTTGTTGGTACAAAACTTGAAGGTTGAAAAAAATAACTTTCTGTCTTTATCCATATAGATCACCCTTAGAAACCGTACAGCACTCCTTTTCAGAGCGTTACCCAGTTTTCTAAATGATAAAGTGAAGATGAGAAAGTAAAGGAGGAGGAGGAGGAGGAGAAGGAGGAAGGAGAAAAGTAGACTGCATAGGGGGAAAACTGCTGAAGAACTTTTCAGAATGAAAACCCTAGAAGTGATTATGCTCTATAGGAAATACTTTTTCTAGTGTCCTTCATAATTTATGGGACTTTTCTTTCATCTCTAGAAATTAAAATAATTCCATACTTTAAACCACCCAGTTAAAGACAAAAATAGGACTAATTCCTTGGTTTTGGAGCCAAAGAAGGGATAAATCTAAGAGGACCTGGTGAAAGCCATGCTCCCATCACATACTCCCATGTTTACTCTTGTATCACGAGCCTGCATCGTATGTAATCACCTGTTTACTTGTACGTTTTTTGGACCGTTAGCCCCTTCAGGGCAGGGACCACAATGTGTCTGACATAGTGCCTGACATTTACTAGGTATTTAATAAAAGTTTGTTTAATAAATAAATGACATTTTGTTTATATATCAATACAATGAACAAATTCGTTTTTGACACAAAATTTCATTTCAAATGGTAAAATAAATTTTCTCCTCAATTCTTTTTTTTTAATTGTTTTATTGCTTAAAGTATTACAAAGGGTATTTCATATGTGTCTCTTTCCCCCCCCCTGCCCTTGACAATCCCCTGGCCTCCCCTACCTCCCCGTGTCTTATGTCCATTGGTTATGCTTATATGCATGCATACAAGTCCTTCTTACCCCCCTCCCTCCTGCCCCCAACCCTCCCCGGCCTTCCTGCTGCAGTTTGACAATCTGTTTGAGGCAGCTCCTCAATTCTTTAAAACAAACAAATAAACAAAAAACAAAACAAGGAGAAACAGGATGAAAAGAAAACCTGTCTTTAGGTTAACTCTGCTCAAGAATTATTAGTGGCCTTAGCTGGTTTGGCTCAGTGGATAGAGCATCAGCCTGCAGACTGAAGTGTCGAGGGTTTGATTCTGATAAAGGGCACATACCTGGGTTGCAGGCTTGATCCCCACCGTGCGGGAGGCAACAAATCGATTGTCTCACATTAATGTTTCTCCCTGTCTCTCCCCCTCCCTTCTACTCTTTCTAAAAATCAACAGAAAAATATCCTCAGGTGAGGCTTAACAACAACAAAAAAGAACCATTAGTGTACTTTTACAGAATATTAGAAAGATAATTATCACAGCTAATACCAATTAGGCTGCTGGGCATCTGTGACGAGCATTTCACATCTAATCCTCACAGTAACCTTATTGATAAATATTATTACCCTATTTTACAAATGAGGAAACTAAGGCACAGAGAGGTTATATAAGTTGCCCTAGGTTGTCAAACTAGTAAGAAGCAGAGCTGGAATTTGAATTCAGTTCTGACTTGAAAGCCTGTATTTAGCCTGTTTGAAGAAAAGGAGTTTAAAATAGTTGTTAGTTCAACCTTAATTTTGAGGCTACTGAACATAGAAATACCTTTTCAAATGTCATATGCCCATCTGGGAGAGAAAATTACATTTTCTCTTTTTATTTCTGTTTCCTAATCACCTCCCATGATTAAATTTTTAACTAGCTTGTAGTCGTTGAGACTTTAGAGATTTAAAACCTTGTGTAGGTAAATCAGTGAAAATGGTGGAGTAAGGCTCCTGAAAATTCATCCCTAAAAAGGGCAACATAAAACAGCTGGCAAAAATAGAATCAACTTTTTCAAACTCTGGAAATTTAACCAACAGGCTTACAGGAATTCAGGGGACATTTATTCAAGAAAAATTAGATTAATCATAAGAACAGTGATCTGTATTGCTTGAACTCACTTGAGACCTTTGCTCTCTCTCCCATGGGTAACCCTGGAAAATAGTCCACATCCCCAGGACAGGCAGAAACAAAATCTCATTCCCGAAGAGCTGTCTCGTGGTTCCCTGGAAGACCTCACTTGAAAGACTTGTCTTTGACCTGACTGAGAGCTGCCTCTGCCAAAAGCCTCTCTCCTCAGGGGAAATGTTTTTGAAAACAATTACAGGTACATGTTTTAACATGGCAGCCGCTGAGGCAATGTATAACAGCACAGAAACACAAAAAATAGCCTAACCAAAAAACTTAAAAGTAAAAGCTGAGAAATGAGGTGTCCGTAGAGACTCTGAAGTTCTCTAACCTATGTCCAGAAAACTGGAAAACCATGAGACATATTCCTGGGAATCTAGAAAAAAACAATAGCACTAATAAATGAGTTCAGTCAGGTTGCAAGGTACAAGACCAATATGCAAAAATTAACTATATTTCTATACACAATGAGTAATAGAAAAATAAAATGAAGAAAACAATTCCATGTATAATAGCATCAAAAAGAATGAAATACTTAGGGAAAAAATTAACCAAAGAAGTGCATGACTCATACACTAAAAATTACAAAATGCTGTTCAAAGAAATTCAAGATCTAAATAAATGGAAAGACATGCTCTGTTCTGCTGTTCAAAGAAATTCAAGAAGATCTAAATAAATGGAAAGACATGCTCTGTTCGCTGATCAGAAGATAATACTGTTAAAATGGCCATACTCCCCCAAATGATGTGTGGTTTCAAGCAATCCCTATCAAAATCCCAACTGACTTCTTTCCAGAAAGTGACAAACTAATTCTAAAATTATATGGCAATTCAAGGGACCCAGAATAGCCAAAACAATCTTGATAAAGAGGAACAACGTGGGAGGACTCACACATCCTGGTTTCAATACCAAATTTTGGGGTCAGTTTTGTGGTTTCTGTTTTCTTAACACTCGACTATTTGAAGTCAACACTAAAAATTAATTTGTTTGCCTCTACTCGTACAGCTGTACCGACAGCTGTGAACAGACAGGATTTTCTAGTGCAATGCAGAGTGATGGGATGGTTTCCTTCCGAGATTCGGGAAAGAAATTGGAATGGGGCTACAGCTATTTCTTTCTTTCTTTATATTTTTTCACACCACACTTTAGCATACACAGCCATATTCACTTCAGAGGCATATATTTTCTGAAAAATAATGTTCTGGGTGATTGGGGAGAGAAGGACCCTGTGGCAGATTTTTAGGAATTCTTTCTGAGGAAACACCCACACCTTTTGCTCCCTGGAGAACTCGGAGGTAAACTTAATTATTTCAGTTCTATGTTGCATATATTTAAGCAGTTTGGAACTTTGCACATGAACAGGAATCAAAGTTAAATTCAGATGTAGAGCCGAAACCGGTTTAGCTCAGTGGATAGAGCGTCGGCCTGCGGACTGAAGGGTCCCAGGTTCGATTCCGGTCAAGGGCATGTATCTGGGTTGCAGGCACATCCCCAATGGGAGATGCGCAGGAGGCAGCTGATCGATGTTTCTCTCTCATCGATGTTTCTAGCTTTCTGTCTCTCTCCCTTCCTCTCTGTAAAAAACCAATAAAAATATATTAAAAAGAATTTAAAAAAAAACTCAGATGTAGAATTTCAAGGACCATTCATATATCAGAGCAGCGGCAGCACTGGGATTCCCATGACGATGCTACTTTGAATGTTATGTGCTTGGTGCCTTCTATTGCCCGTGCCAAAGGTCAGCACTAAGGAAAGCAGACAGTGCCATATATGGGTTAGACAGGTCTCTTGGTCTCTTTGTACCTTAGTTTCCTCATTTGAATAAAAAATGAATGGCTCTTAAGCCATAGTTTTCAGAATTCAAACTGGGCTTATATCCAGCTAACCAATCACTGTATGATGTTGTTACACATAGCTTTTTACATATGTTTATCTTCTACTTCACTTACAACTTGTGTAAAAACTTCATTCCATGCCAGGCCCGAAATGTTCCAAAGTTCACTTTTGTGATTAAATTGCCACCAAGATTTCTACAAAAAGACATAAGCAAAAGAAGACAAAAAGTATTATTTCAGATCATTTATCTTTTGGCAGTGATTCTAATTTATATACGATAAAACAACCTCAATACTCCCTCCACACACTAAATAAATCTCTCTGTAGAAGAGATTTGCTTATGATTTATGGTTTCATGTTTATATATGTGGTACATTAGATACAAAACCTTGAATAACCATGAGGTTTAAAATTAAGTTTTATAAAAATTATAAAAATAATGAAGTTATACTTATAACTTACATATACCGCAAAAAAGGTAGTGATGCAAATGTATTCCTTTCAATAAACTGTATTTTATTGCAGGATAAATCTCTAGAAAAAGTAAAAGAAAAATAGTGCCCCAATTAGCCACTAGATATCTAATTAGTAGGAATAATTGGTAGAGGTTAGAATGATAATATTGAAAATGCAACTTTAGTCAAAACTCAAAATCTTAGGAATTGTGATTTGAACCTTTCAGAGCCCCTAACCTTGCCCTCACCTCTCTCATTTTCATAATCTTCATAAATATGCAACTTTAGATCTTGATAGACTTTAAAGGTAATCTTTCCTGAGAGCAGAAGAATCAACTAGATAACCTTTTATGGTCCCATCAAATTTAGATTATGAGCTCAAAGGTTGTCTGTTCATATGTAATTATAAATGTATAATATTAAAAGAAATAGTCTCACATTTTCACACCTTTCTGGTTTAGTTCTGTTTGTCTAAGCCAATTCAATATCAGATGAAATAAAAGATGCATTTTCACATAACTTGAAAGGAAGTTACTTCTCTAATACTACAGGACTTTGAACTAATTCAGAATGATACTTTCTATTACATTTAGAAATTCATTTTTTGTTTTACATTGCTTTAATAATCCATGAATGTACTTGCTTCAGTTGTACAGTGGTGGGGCAACAGAAAACAACATGGCACTGAATTTTTACTTGAAAACACCCACTGTTGTCTATAGTTGGCTCTCTTATTTCCATTGATTCCACTTTAGTCCCTCACTTTTCACCTGGATGGGTATAACTGTTTTCTGACTGGTATTTCCCTCTGTAACCTCCTCCTTTCTAATCCATCCTGCACACAGTCACTAGATTAGCTCTCCAGAAGTGACTCTCAAATACCAGCCAGCATCACTTGGGAACTTACTGAAGATGCAAATTCTCAATCCTCCTCTGGACCTACTGAATCAGTAACTGTGGGGTGCAGCCTGAGATTCTGTTGTAGGCTAACGTTGGTCCTAGAGCACTGGTGTGATAACATGGTAGCTTGGCATTCAAAGCCTTAGATGATCTGATTCTAAATTCCTACTCTCTCTACTTGTACTCTACAGTGTATTTTTCCTGTGTCTTGCCTTCCCATGTGCTCCTTTTGCAAGCTTATTCTACCCAAAATGTCTATCTGATGATCCCCAAGGGCCCTTCAAGGTCCTGTTCAAAAAGCTACTCTAGTAACATCTTTGCTAATCCAACTTGAAGTCTCTTTTCCCCTCTGCGTAACCAAAACTAATTGATAGCTCTCATTGCCCATATCTATTTCCTCATTTTAAAAGTTATTTTTGCATCCTATTTCCTCTGAGAAGTCCTTGAAAGTATGCACTGAGTCTTGCTCATTTGCATTGTCTACTATGTTAAAAACAGACATGTGAACATATGAAAATTCAAATATCTCTCTCTATATAAAAGGCTAATATGCAAAGTGTCCGCTTGGGAGTTCAACTGGGAGAACAGGAGTTCGATTGCTCGCTATGACACGAGTTGACCACCAGGGGGCAGTGCAGAACAAAGGAAGGCCCTGGCCAGCAGCCAGAAGGCCCCGATTGGCCTTGATTGCCAGCCAGACCTAGGGACTCTAACCATGCACGAATTTCATGCACTGGGCCTCTAGTTTATGAAACAAACAAAAAATCATTCTTAACTTAAGGGTTGTAAAAACACATACACCATAGGTCCAATTTGATCATGGACCCTAAACTAAACATAAACATGAGCAGATGGTATATGAACATTTATATAACAAGGCTCATATGGGTGTGTATAATTACTTATACCATATTACCACTTTTCCTCTATAACTGAAGAGTTTTTCTATATGTATCTTGTCCATTTGATTAAAAAAAAGAAAATGCATAGGAGATATTAAGTGCTAGAGATGGGCTGGAGCCCTACACAAACTTACAGAATTGTAGATTTTTTAAAATATATTTTATTGATTTTTTACAGAGAGGAAGTGAGAGATATAGAAAGCCAGAAACATCGATGAGAGAGAAACATCGATCAGCTGCCTCCTGCACACTCCCCACTGGGGATGTGCCCGCAACCCAGGTACATGCCCCTGACCGGAATCGAACCTGGGACCTCTCAGTCCGCAAGCCGACGCTCTATCCACTGAGCCAAACCGGTTTTCGGCTGTAGAATTTTATTGATGGGAGAAATTGTAGAGATAATCTGTTTTGAAACCCTTATTTATTTTATCGATAACATAACGAAAAACTCAAATAGAAACAAAAACAAAACTCAAATAAATATAATTAACTTACAAATACTGGAGGAACATCAGGCCTTCAAATGAGTCCTTATGTAATTCCCTCAAATTATTTCCACTGAGATTTCTGAAAAATGAAAAGGTTATTTCTGGATCAAAATGCAAAATAACTACAACTATTTACTGCACAGAAATATAAATGGGGTAATGGTGCCATTATTATGTCTTTTATTAATAATTCAGAAGTCATTTATGACAATCTGTTCAAGTTGAACTAATAAGACGACATGCAAACTGTCATGAAAAATACCAGGTACTTTGATGTAAATATTTTTTCCCAAATCACTTATGTGCCTAAATAGACTTTGCTACAAATCAATATTTAAAAAATGAGCAAAAAAGGACAGGGCAAATTCAGGGAAGAAATACAAATGTTCAATACATGTATAAAAGTACTTAAGTTCACAATTGATCAGAAAAATTCAAATTTATTCACTTATTAATTAGATCAGCCAAAAAGTGGCAACTATCCAGTGGTGAAAAGGTAGAGGGAAATAGATGCTGTCGTGGCCCACTGACTGGAGTGTAAGTTGGCACAACTTCTTTGAGGGCAATTAAAATATATCAGCCCTGCTGGCGTGGCTTAGTAGTTGAGCGTTGAACTATAAACCAGGAGGTCAGGGTTGGATTCCTGAGTTGTGGGCTTGATCCCCAGTAGGGGGCGTGCAGGAGGCAGCCAACCAATGATTCTCTCTCATCATTGATGTTTCTATCTCTCTCTCCCTCTCCCTTTGTCTCTGAAATCAATAAAAAAAATTTTTAAAAAAAGAGGGCCTGCCAAATTTAATTTTTAAAACAAACAGAAATGCAATCAATAGTGATTGATTTGGGACATGGAGGGGGAAATACCATTTATCAGAGTTACTGACCTCAAAATTCTGGACCAAGAAGGATCATACAATGCAGTTAGTTATTTTTTTGTATTCATTTTTGGAGAGAATATACTCACAGTTTTACAAGAAAATGGTATGGCTTCCATGTATCTTTATTGATGTAAGAAATTGAGTTTCCTTGCAAGTTTCTGTGAAGAAACAATTAATATCCTTGAATAAGTAGGAAAAGAATGAACAAAATAAGTAAAACATCATGGCAACCTTGTGGGGAATATTCAAATGCAGGAAATACCAGTCTTCCAATTTCCACAGCTATCAGCTTCCCCGTTTGCACAATTAACAAAGACAATATGTAATGAGGCAGCTCCTCAGAACCTGAATTTCTCTTGGATGGGTAATGCCAGTTAAGACTTGGAATGCACTCTTTCTAAAATCTAAAATGATTTCTACAAATCAAGGAGAAAAGAATAATTCAACAGAAAAATGGCAAAAATTTATCATTATCAGTAAATAAACATAAAGAAACCTTATGCCAGGCCACAGCTTTGGCTCAGTGACTCTGTGGAAATCTCTCCAGGTCTTAGAAGGATAAGGGCAGTTAGAAATGAGACGATTAATATGGAAAGCTCTCATAGACATATTTGACAGGGAAAAGCACAAATCACTGAACAAGGAGTAAAGTATTAATATTTTAGGGGAAAATGCAAAAAGAAAGAAAGAAAAAAAGAAGGAAGGAAGGAAGGAAGGGGAAAAGGAAAAGGAAAGGGAGGAAAAGAGATTAGATGGAAGGATAGACACACACAAAATGCTAACAGGAGTGGGAGAGGGTGGGATTTTCATATTTAATACTATCTACTTCTGTGACATTTAAAAACACACAGTGAGACATATCTATGGATTACAAGTGTTTAAAAGAAGCTGTTCAATTCCTGAGGTTCAGGTTCAACCACTAATTCTGTGGATGACTTTGAGTCTTTACCTTTAGCTTTGTCCTCTTCCCTCAGCAACAACGTACCTATTCAGTTTACAGACACATTTTCCAGGAAGGTCAGAAAAAGCCAACCACCTACCTACCTGCCCCTCTGCCTAGGGGACATTGCCACTCCACCAAAGCCTTCTGGTCACTTATGCTCACCAGTAAAAGATGGCCAAACTGAACTCATCTCCCTCACACAGGCCCTCCTTCCCAACGGATGGGTGTCCACCTGTCATATCACCATTGTTCTCATCATCCAGGGCAGAAATTTTACAGGGTCATATTTGATTTTTCTCTTCCCTGTACATTCTATCTCCCATCTCCAGTCAGTCACTAAACCTTATCAGTTGTTGCTTTATAGTGTTCCCAGGGTTCTCTTTTTACTCCTATCACAACTACTCTGATTCAGCGCCTTCCCATTTACTCCTAGATTTTGCTAGCGCATTCTATTTGGTCTCCCCGAATCAAGCTTTCCTTTCTAGATAGCTCTACGTATGGAATCGAAAATAATCCTATTTTAATCATCTGTCTCTCTCACTTGAAAACTTCCAGTGGCTCTCCCAATCTCAGTGTAACTTCCAAACCCCTATCGCTGAGAGCCAAGGTTTTTCATAATCATTATTTTTCACTGCTTCCCAAACCAATTCTTTACAACCAGACTGGTCTATTCCTCCAGCCATGCCTCTGCCTAGACTGCACTCATTAGTAGTTCTCTGTTTATCAAACCATAGCCATCCTTTAAATGCCAGCTAACGTTCTAGCTTATCCATACAGCTTTTCCTGACTTCCACACCCCAATGACTATAGATTCTGCTGAAGTATTGCACCTCTGGTCTGTATCTCTTTTAGTACTTAATTATATGTTACCTCCTTTTTTATGCACATTATCTTTCTTCCCACCTACCATTGTCATGTTCTATAGACAATGTCACACTTCTGTGGCTCCCACAGTTCTTAGCCCTGGGTTGGATACAAAATGGGTGATACACATAGAAAGCCAGGAGGCAAAGATGAGTTCTGGATATAACTGAGGGATTTAATAATAATAATAGCTAACGCATACATATGTTAGGCACTGACACAAGTACTTTACATATATTCACTCATCTAACTCTTACAACAATCCTAAGAGATGGCAACTATCATTATCTTCATTTTACAGATGAGGAAATTGAGTCCCAACACTAATAAATGACCTCCCTAGGCTCAAATCTAGTCACTCTGGCTCTAGAATCTCTCTTCTTAACCGCTTTGTTTTATCACTACCAGTGAGATGGGGAGAGAGCCATGTTGCTGTAAAGAGGATGGAGCAAAAGTGGGAGGTAATTAGAGGTTAAGGAATAAAATAATGGGACTGAAAAATGGATAAGGAAAAATAATATGGGCAATTAAAAGACTGGTGAAGGAGGAAACAATAGTAAGAAGGAGAATGAAGATAAGAAATAGTTGACAAACACAAGATAACAGAGTGTCAGTCAATGTGGGTTGGAGAAGATGAGGAAAGCCAAGGAAGCCCTCAGGGAAAGGGCTGCCGTGTCAGGTAGGATGCAGAGAACAAAAGGGGAAAGGCAGTTCTTACAAGACAGAGAAGGTGCCCTTGTAGCTGTTGGGCTCTGGCACAGGCACGGTGCGGAGCCTCTCCGTTGGGCCAAGACCGATACAGGACAGCGTCCCATTGCTGCAGGCACAGAGCTCACATATGTTGGTGGTGGCACTCCATTCAGTCTTTGGAGGAACTGTCTCAGATGACTCTGGTTGCTGAGTTATTCGAACTTCCAGGTCTAGAGGCAGAACAGTGCTTCCAGTCAAGGCTGGCTGCAGAGCCGGAACCGTCTCTGGATGTGGAAGTGGCACCTCAGGGTGCTTCGGAGGACCTGTCGTCTGCTGCAGGGCTGTCGCATCCAAAGTAGGCTGAGCTGCGGTCTCCTGCTGCAATGGAGGTGAGTCTGTCTCCTCAGGGGGCGTTGGAGGGGTCCCCTGCTGGGTTGGAGCTTTGACTTCCTCTGCGGACTTTGGAGGATGATCTGAGACCTCCTGCCCAGTTACAACCAGTTCAGTCTCCTTAGTGGACTCTGGAGCTACCAACACCCTCAGGCCCACATCTTTAACATTCATATGGGACAATGCTGGATGCTGAGTTTCACCCGAACCTAGAGGTGAGACTGTCACCTCATGATGGACCGAAGGTTGAGCTGAAACATCTATAGAGGATTTTGGAGGCTGGGCTCCCCCCTTCTGATGGACTGAAGAAGGTTCTACAGCGGCAAGAGGCACTTGAGGCAGAAGTGAGCTCTTCCACTGGGTCGAAGATTCGACATTTTCAGCCGGGATGGGATGCTGATCTGGAATTCCTTGGTGGACTGACCAAGGTTTCAGAGGCTCAGAGGACAGTGTAGACGGAGCTGAGGCCTCTTGTTGAGGTGGGAACTGAGCTGAAGTCTCCGCCTGGGTTGAAGAGGCTTCGGCTTGCTGAGCTGGGGCCTCCTGAAGGGTTGGAGGGTGTTTCACTTCCTCAGGGGCCTCTGTAGGCAGAGCCGAGTCTTCTTGTTGGAGTAACAGAGATTTAACCTCTTTTAAGGCATTTGAAGTCTCAGGTGGGGGGGTTTGCTGATCCAAAGCCCAGGGCTCGGTTGGGCCCGAGGGTTTGGAGGTCAGCAGGACAGGGTCCAGGGTCAACTCTGAAGGCTGAGCTGCCTGGACCAGCAGCCACAACAGCTGCCACATACACAGGGGCCATGGGGCCCAGAGGTGCGGCCCAGACATGACAAGCAGAGGTCCGGGACACAGCGAGTGACCCAACCGAGTGGGTCACAACGAGGGACTCAGGGAAGTGGGTCACAGTGAGCAACCCAGGTGAGTAGGGTGAGTAGGGCACAAGTGATCCAGGTGAGTGGGCCACAGTGAGTGACCCAGGCACTGGTCGGAAGCCCAACAATTGGCAGCCTTGTCACAATTGGCATCTGTGTCATGCATGTGCCCCTTAGCAACCAAACACCCCTCCCCCGCCTCAGGTTCCAACCTTTATTACCACTGTTCTGAGTGACTGCAGAGGAGTGAGCCTTTTCCCAGAATCACCAGGGACCAACCACCTCCCACTAAGCCTCCCCTCCCCTCACAGTGAGGCAGGATTTGAGCTGTAGACCCTGTGGCTCCAGACACCAGCAGCCCAGGGATGGGGGTGGTAGGGGTTTTAAATGAGGTGGGAATTTGGGAGGTGCTGCAGAGCTTCCCAAGGAATCCACAGAGCCTGGCATCCCAGGAAATTCAGAAATGCTAGTCCAGTTTGGGCAATCTGAACCCCTCAAAGCTGAAATATGAGAGACATTCTTCCTCCTCTGGGCCGTGCTGCTTCGAAGAAAAGCAGCTGACCTACAAAATGGACAGCAGTTAGGGTGGTGGGGAGGCAGACACATTTTGCAGTTCTAAGATGTTGCCATTTCCTCAAAATTCATAGGATCCGTGTCTGATTCTTAATTTACCACTCTGACAGGGGCTACCACTGAATCAGTGATGTCTCCAAAATGTCTATAGGTGGGGTTTTGGAGGGTGAGCAATTCCTCCTCCTCCCCCTCCCCCTCCTTCTTTCTTCTTCTTTCTCCTTCTCCTTCTCCTCCTTCTTCTCTCTCTTCCCTTCCTCTCTCTCTCTCTCTCTCTCTCTCTCTCTCTCTGAGACGACGATGACACTTATGGTGTTAAAGCCAGCATCTATATACATAAAAGCTTGTGTCCATCCAACCATCTGGCCAGTAGCTATGACGCACACTGACCACCAGGGGGCAGATGCTCAACACAGGAGCTGCCATGACACGCACTGGCCATTTAAAAAGAAACGGCACTGCGGACCTGACACCCACAGACCAACACTCAGCTTTCCCCAGGTGTGACACAGGCCCCACCCCCAGCCCAGAGCAATACCCCACCAAACCACAGCCAATGTGCCAAGACCCTCTGGCGCAAAATGTGGCCCACAGCCTGGCCCAGCCAGGAAACAGCTGCTGTGGACGCCAGGTAATGACGTCACGTAGCAATTGCTGGCTTCCTCTTTCTAGCGACTAGCCTCCTTG